CAAGGCTATATAAAGGCGTCTTCACAAGAGCAATTTGTACTGGATAGTGGATAATAGAAAATGGCAACCCAAATGATCTCAACAGCAGCAACTGCTGCAACCATTAACGGCGGTGCCGCCACCGCAGCTCAGCCGAGCTTGGTGGCACCGTTCTCCGGTCTCAAGTCCATGTCACCTTTCCCTGTAAGTCGGAAAAGCAACAGTGGTGACATGAGGTCTGTGTCGAGCAATGGTGGTAGAGTTCAATGCATGCAGGTTTGGCCACCACTTGGGAAGAAGAAGTTCGAAACGCTATCGTACCTTCCGCCACTAAGCCAGGAACAATTGGCCAAGGGAGTTGAATACCTGTTTCGCCAGGGATGGGTTCCTTGCTTGGAATTTGAGTTGCAGGTCCTCAGATTATTTTGTTTTATAAGAACATTACTAAAATCATTTTATTCATTTAATTATGTTGATGCTCGTTTTTGGCACCAATGAATTGTCACGTGCGTAACGTTGATTGGCTGTTAAATACACATGAAAATTGAATATATAAAGCGAAATAAATGCCAAGGGAGTTTTTTAAGTGGTTCGGATGCTAAGGTAGCAAGTCCTACGTCCACTGATTTGTATTGATATTAGTGTGGGTCAGGTCGCAACTGCAGACTGACTTACAAAAGAGTTGAAAAAGTAAAAATGTTTTTACAGGAGAGAGAGAGAGTTTTTCCCTATACGAAAATGGCCGAATCCCCTTAATGAAGGGGCCTTCTTCATTTTATATCAAACTGAAGCGTGTAATCATCATTAAATCCATGGTTTGGTGCGATTGTCAGGATATAATCCGGCTTTATGTCCCATTGCTCTCTTCCCAAGCTGACTTCGCACGATTTATTGTAGGGAAATGGACGCGTGTAAGCTCCATATCATTTGGCAGGCCTGACGTGTGCGTGTTGCTCTGACGGGAGCAGGTCACCCTTCACGTGACTCTCCCTTGTCAGTCCTTTAGTTTCCCAGGCCATAACAGTAGCCCCCTAGTTTTTAAGGTTTGAGGAACGAACCTTGGAAACTAAGTCGTATGGAGGTTTTTGGTCGCTCCGACCTGAATGGGATGAGCTCGGCACATGTCTCTTGGCGAACATGATCTCGTGCAATTCCTCGCCTAAGCGACCTGACTATCTTCATTCTAACGACCTGGATTTGATGGACACTCCTTTCTGTGCCTTAGAAATTCAATGAACCTGGTCCTGCGCTGTCAGGTGCTCTGCATGCGCTGAAGCGTTTGTCAGACACATTAAATGCATCGTGTGCTGACCCGACACCGTTTTGACAGCATTAGCTGCGCAGCGCATTCGAAACGATGGCTATTATCACGGCATTTAATGCGACGTGGGGCGCATTTAATGCGGGGAGAAGAGTGGGCTGTCGTTTCGATTCCGAGGGGTGGTAACCGTCGATTCGTGATCCATATAAAAACTCGCATTTTTCAGATGAGGTCAATGAAATTTCTTTTGTTTCGAGTGACAGCCCTTTGCAAATCAGAAACCATTCTTTCCCGATCGGCACCTCTCAGGCAATTGAAACGAGCTTCGGTCTTGGTTACTCATCACAGAAGGTAAGATTCTCTTCTTCCTCTTTTTCTTTGCATTTGCTTGGTTGGGTGATGGTGTTGGGTCTCCCGGTGTTTCACCAGGGACGTGACGCCGTCATTGGATTTGAACCGTGTATGGCGGCTCGAGTTACTGTTAGGGTTTAAGAGTTTGTCCCCTGCCGCCGCACGGGACAAGCACGAAGGCCTAAATGACCGTGTCTGTCGATGTTGCAGACTGGAATGGAACCGTCAACATCCAGACCCGAGGAAGGAGCCAGCTCATCCTCGCAGGGAGCTCCTGAGGACGCACCTCTCGATGTCTACTCGGTTCTCACCACCGAGGAATATAATAGAATAAAGAGGCAGTTTGACATCCGCGTGGAGGTGTTCCTCGACCACACTAGGCCATCACGGCGCCCGGCTGATGGCCTTGCCGCGATCTCTGAAGAGATCTTCAAGGGTGGAGGGAGGATTCCCTTCCATCCTTTCATCAGGTTGGTCCTGGATCATTTCGGGATTGCACCGATGCAGCTGATGCCAAACTCTTATGTCATCGCTGTCGCGATGTACATTGCGTGCTGCGAAAGCGGCTTGGGCGAGCCAACGGCAGTGGAGCTCGGCATCGCCTATTATCTCAAAAAGAGCAGGGACAAGGACTCGTACTATCTGTCTCGGCGACCTACCATTGCCGCAGGGATACACAGCTATCCCAGCAATGCGGGGGCTTACGAGACAAAGTTCTTCTTTTTCTTTTACGACGGCTACTGCCGTTTTCAGCATCCAAGTAGGTTTCCTTTCGCTGGGTTCATTATCTGCTCTCATGATCAGTAGTAACGACCTGTTTTCTTTTGCAGTTAACAGAACGACCAGCCAAGACTTACTCGCCGACCCAAACAGGCTCGTATCCTTTGGAGTACTGGACGAGGAGAGCCAGGACGCGAGGAACCTTGTGACGACCGCGAACTTGCGGAAGTACGGGTTCTTCAGCGACAAGGCGTCTTTAGAACCCCCAGAAGGTAAATTATACTGGTTCCTTTCTGGTCGTAGAATGATTTCGTTTACTAACAAACTTAAATGCAGGAACGATGCCTCCAAAGGAGTCCGNCTGTTTTCTTTTGCAGTTAACAGAACGACCAGCCAAGACTTACTCGCCGACCCAAACAGGCTCGTATCCTTTGGAGTACTGGACGAGGAGAGCCAGGACGCGAGGAACCTTGTGACGACCGCGAACTTGCGGAAGTACGGGTTCTTCAGCGACAAGGCGTCTTTAGAACCCCCAGAAGGTAAATTATACTGGTTCCTTTCTGGTCGTAGAATGATTTCGTTTACTAACAAACTTAAATGCAGGAACGATGCCTCCAAAGGAGTCCGAGCAGCCCCACTGAGCACCATTCGTCTTTCCTAGATCGAGGAGTGAGAGGGCGGCCGAAGCTGCTCGTCCAATCCCAGCACAGCCGGTGCGAACAGTCCCGGCTTCCCAGCCTCGTCCTGTGCAAGAAGCGACCAGGACGGAACAGGCTGCTCAGGCACCAATTGCTCGCCCAAAGCGGAAGGCTCCGGCCCAGAGGTCGAAGAAGAGGAAGCAGATTCAGCCCGAAGAGTCGGAGACCGAATCTGAGGAACAGCGTCTGAGGTCGTGCCAGGAACCCAGGAGGTCGGGCAAGGAGCCCGTGGGCAAGGCAGTCGCTGCTGGCAAGGCGAAGGACATGCCGGTTCTAGACTCATTGGGGAGTCTGCCCGAATACTTGCAGCCAATAGTTTATGGCCTGCTCGAGTGCGAGCTGTCGGAGTCGTACGACGAGTTTGCCGACACGGGCGATGACCTGATGACCACGTCGTTTCAGCATCTGAGCAAGGTAAACGAGCCGTACTTGAAATTTTATTCTGGTTTATTTCTAACTCATATCTTGCTCACAGGCGTTGCTCGCGATGAGAATGTCCATGGAAAAGACGCGACTGGGGGCCGCCAAGGGGACAAGCGACCTGCAGGAAGAGGTCGCAAAGCTAAAGCAGAGCTTGGAGTCCGTTGAAGCAGAAAGAACTCAAGCGTTCGAAGCGGCGAACAGGTATCTGAGCCAAAAGGACGCTGCTTTACGAACAGTGGACTTCCAGAAGACGGAGCTCGATCGACGTGTGGAGGAAGTCAAGGAACTTCAAAGGACAACTGCCAGGCTCTCTAAGGAAGTTGGAGAAAAGGACCAGGAGCTCCAGGCGACCTTCGCGCGGGCTCAGCGAGCTGAAGAAGATAAGGTGGCTTCCGATGTTGATGCTCGTTTGGCACCAATGAATTGTCACGTGCGTAACGTTGATTGGCTGTTAAATACACATGAAAATTGAATATATAAGCGAAATAAATGCAAGGAGTTTTTTAAGTGGTTCGGATGCTAAGGTAGCAAGTCCTACCGTCCACTGATTTGTATTGATATTAGTGTGGGTCAGGTCGCAACTGCAGACTGACTTACAAAAGAGTTGAAAAAGTAAAAATGTTTTACAGGAGAGAGAGAAGTTTTTCCCTATACGAAAATGGCCGAATCCCCTTAATGAAGGGGCCTTCTTCATTTTATATCAAACTGAAGCGTGTAATCATCATTAAATCCATGGTTTGGTGCGATTGTCAGGATATAATCCGGCTTTATTTCCCATTGCTCTCTTCCCAAGCTGACTTCGCACGATTTATTGTAGGAAATGGACGCGTGTAAGCTCCATATCATTTGGCAGGCCTGACGTGTGCTTTTGCTGCTCTGACGGGAGCAGGTCACCCTTCACGTGACTCTCCCTTGTCAGTCCTTTAGTTTCCCAGGCCTAACAGCGCCCCCTAGTTTTTAAGGTTTGAGGAACGACCCTGGAAACTAAGTCGTTGGAGGTTTTTGGTCGCTCCGACCTGAATGGGATGAGCTCGGCACAAGTCTCTTGGCGAACACGATCTCGTGCAATTCCTCGCCTAAGCGACCTGACTATCTTCATTCTAACGACCTGGATTTGATGGACACTCCTTTCTGTGCCTTAGAAATTCAATGAACCTGGTCCTGCGCTGTCTTGCCTGCATGCGCTGAAGCGTTTGTCAGACACATTAAATGCATCGTGTGCTGACCCGACACCGTTTTGACAGCATTAGCTGCGCAGCGCATTCGAAACGATTTCTAGGCCTACAATATTGTCTATGGTGTATTATTCATTTCTATAAAGTTTATGAGGAAGATGAAAATAAAAAATGATGGGTTATTTTATTTTATTTCCTCACATATTATACAGTATCAAGATAGGGTGATGGTCTGATAGACTGATTTTGTGCCACGTGGCACTTGGAGAAGGGCTGATATCCGTAAATCCAAGATAAAATTCCAACCCTTGGATGGAAATCTAGCAAACCCAACAAGGCTATATAAAGGCGTCTTCACAAGAGCAATTTGTACTGGATAGTGGATAATAGAAAATGGCAACCCAAATGATCTCAACAGCAGCAACTGCTGCAACCATTAACGGCGGTGCCGCCACCGCAGCTCAGCCGAGCTTGGTGGCACCGTTCTCCGGTCTCAAGTCCATGTCACCTTTCCCTGTAAGTCGGAAAAGCAACAGTGGTGACATGAGGTCTGTGTCGAGCAATGGTGGTAGAGTTCAATGCATGCAGGTTTGGCCACCACTTGGGAAGAAGAAGTTCGAAACGCTGTCGTACCTTCTGCCCCTAAGCCGGGAACAATTGGCCAAGGAAGTTGAATACCTGCTTCGCCAGGGATGGGTTCCTTGCTTGGAATTTGAGTTGCAGGTTTCAGATTATTTTGTTTTCTAAGAACATTACGAAAATCATTTTATTCATTTAATTAATACACATATATATATATAGTAAATTATGAAAAAATTTATCTAGTATTTATTAACAAAATTCCAAATTTAAATATATATGTGTATTAGAATACAAAAAGGTGTTGTCTAAATCAAGAAAGAAAGTCCTGTAGTTGAAGGTTTCTGAAAGTTTAAAATATTTTGTGGCAGCATGGATTCGTGTACCGTGAGAACCACAGGTCTCCAGGATACTACGACGGGAGGTATTGGACAATGTGGAAGCTGCTGATGTTTGGATGCACTGATTCTTCTCAGGTTTTGAAGGAGCTTGACGAGGCTATCAAAGCTTATCCTGAAGCCTTCGTCAGGATTATTGGTTTTGACAATGTCCGCCAAGTGCAATGCATCAGTTTCATTGCCTACAAGCCCCCTGGCGTCTATATCCGTTCCATCAAATATCCGTTCTTCACATAAATAATTTATGCATGTTTGTTCATGTTTTGTTTTTCTGAATATGAGTTTCAACCTTGTGAGGATCAAGTTGTAACGTTGTTGAAGTAATTATATATAGTACGTGCGAAATATTGTAGGGACCCCGAAATCACACGTGAAAGTAATGGATAAGAGATAGTAAATGCAATGGAGACAGTTTTTAAAGTGGTTCAGATGCTAAGGTAGCAAGTCCTACATCCACTGATGCTTATATTGATGATAGGGGTCAGGTCGATATTAGCTGACTGACTTTATAAAGATATTACAAGATATCAATTGCTAAGAAAAGAGAGAATAATTAATCAAGTGAAAAATGTGCGAATCCCCTTAATGAGAGATGAATTCCTAATTTATAGTCAGATGCCTTGAGGCGATGATCACTAAATCTGCAAGTTGGTGGGATTATCCGTGCAAATCCCTCTTTATGTTACATTGCCCACCTTCCAGAGTGATTTGTGCGATTTAGAGCAGGGATTGGACACGTGGGAGCGCCACAGCCTCTTGAGTAGCCTGACGCGCGCCCACTATCCTGACAGACGCAGACGGTGGCTGTTCCAATGACCCGACTTTTGCGGGCTAAAGGGTCCTAACGTCAGCCCTTATATTTTTAGGCATAACAATATCTTTGATATATAAATGTCATTCAGTTAATACCATAAACATTTAAGAGTGCGTTTGTTTTACTTTTTAGAATTAGAATACTATTTAATGAAATACGGTATGATTTGAGAATGTATTTTGTAAAATATTTTCTAAAATGTTTAGATTCTTTTTAACTCTCTACATTTATTAATTTAACTAAAGACTTCCATAATAAAAGTTTATAAGTTAACAAAACACTCCACCCATCAAATTATTGCCGACAGCCAGTCACCACCATCAGGCGGTGGTCGAAAGTCATTGAAATTAATGTTGGAAAAGTAACATGACTCAGCCCTGTCCGCGGCAGCTTAGTGTTTTTGGTGGGTTAGGCTTGCCAACCCTAACCTAGCGAGTTATGCTCTGGGCCGGGCTGGGTAGCCCCCTCCCCCTTTTTTTTTAAATTTTTTCTTTTGTTTTGTTACACCTATCAGGGGTGATCACCAACGTCCTCGTGAGGATGGGTGCAAGCGACCGCCTCTTTTCTCGCAGAAGTGATTGGTTCCTTTTTTCTGGCCTTTGAGGTCGCTGCAAGTGTTCATCACCCTGATCGGTCATGGTGCGCTTCGCGAGCGTATCTTTCCTGCGCTCCTCGCATGTTTCCCGCGAGGTGCGGACCTCCGAAATTATGTTAACACTATCGTACCCGCTGCGATCACGGCACTTTTCTTTCGCTCCCCTTGTGTTCTTTTGGGAGTCATCAATGTACTCCTTGAAATGCCCCTTCTTGATGAGCTCTTCGATGGCCTGCTTTAGAGCTCGGCACTCATCAGTGAGATGCCCATTATCCCGATGGTAACAGCAGTATTTTTGCTGTTTCTGGCCGTAGTAGGGGTTTTCATGGGTTCGGGCTCATCGGCAGGCTGGCCTCCTCGATTTATCGAGGATTGCTGATATGGACACATTCAACAGAGTATATTGGCCCCTCCGCTCGCGACGAGAACAGGAGCATAGGACTTTTTCTGCTCGTAACGGGGTTTCTTCCCTTTTTGCTGGTCGTTATTGTCTCCTTTGTGATCAGCTCGCCTGTTATATCCCCGACCAGGTGTACTGCTGGAAGTGCCGTGATCGCCACGGTGGAGTGCCGCCAGCGAATTCTCTATTCGGAGATACTTTTCTGCTAGGTTGTAGAATCTGGTGAGGGAAATATCGTCCTCGCTTGCAGTTCTTTCCACAGGTCGGTTTGCGGGCGAACTCCAGCTATTATAAGAGTTCGGATGACTCTTCTGAGCGTGAGCACTTTGTTGAGTTCCCTGTGGAAGCGATCATGTAAGACTGCAGGGATTCGTCTCTTTCTTGCCTATGTTGCTAAGTAGCTCAAAGGCATTGAAAATTTCCGTTGGCTTGGAAATGCCGCAGGAACGTCTCATGCTCATCTGAGACCACGAACTGATCGATCCCGCTGGGAGCGACCTTAACCACCGTTTGGCGTGAGAAGTCAGCGTCACGGCCAAACAACGGCATTTTGCGAGTTCCGAAACCTAGTGGAGCCCATCAGGTCGTTGAACTCATATAAATGATCCTGCGATCATGGTTTCCATCGAACGCCGCATATCTGGATCCTGAACCCTGGTGGAAGCGGGGCAGCTAGCACCTCGGGAGTGAAAGGGGATGCAGAGGCACGCTACTGTTCGTTTTGGCTGCTCCCTTAACCTGTCCAGAGCTCGCTGCGCTCCTCAATTTGCTGTAACGGAGCCAATTGGGGGTTGCTTTCACCCGTGCGAGCGGCCTTCTCGTTTGCGGTTCAAGAGTCCGGAGGTCGGATTCCTCCTCGCCTCGGCCGCGTTTCCGTCGCACTTGACACACGCTGACTTGAGGCGTGTGAAGGCGATGGGTTGTGCGGGGCACTTTCACGACCTTCGCGGTGGTACGAACCGCCCCGCGAGTTGTGGGGCCACCCGCATGAGAACGATCAGGATCGTTCTGCTGGTGGGTGATCAGAATCATCGCGCCCAGCGTTTTTCGCTTGGGTTCGCCTGCGACGTGGCATGGGACAGCTCGGGATTCACTTTTTCACCGAGTCTCAGCTTTGCCGACACCCTGCTCGGGGCACCCTTGTGTATTCGCCGGCCCTTGGGAGCCCGTAGCTTATTTTTTGCCACTTGCTTACCCTTGCGCTTACGCGCTGCAGTGCTCGTGGCACGCTATCGCCCTTGCCGCGCTTTCGCGTGCCCTGCAGGCATCTTGGCGGTTGTACCGCTCTGGCTGTCGTAGATGACATGCCTTGGTCCAAACGGTCCAACCTCTGTTTGACCGTCTGGAGAGTTTATCAACCTCTCCGGTAACTTCTGATGGCAGGGTCTAGTTGTGGAGCTGCTGGGGTATTCCCGCAGCATTTTGCAAACTGGAGGTATGTTGGAAGGGGGGTCCCTCTGGGCTGGGGGACTCCTTCAGCATGCAGTTGACCTGCTCAGGCTCAGATTGGCGGGCCATTGTAGCTGTAAGACCAGTAGGTCAAAGATTCTCCTGATAAGGGTAGACACTAAATCACCCCTCCTTCTAGCGCCAAACTGTTGATACTCGTTTTGGCACCAACGAATTGTCACGTGCGTAACGTTGATTGGCTGTTAAATACACGTGAAATTTGAATATATAAGCGAAATAATGCCAAGGGAGTTTTTTAAGTGGTTCGGATGCTAAGGTACAAGTCCTACGTCCACTGATTTGTATTGATATTAGTGTGGGTCAGGTCGCAAGTGCGCCTGACTTACAAAAGAGTTGAAAAAGTAAAAATGTTTTTACAGGAGAGAGAGAGAGAGTTTTTCCCTATACGAAAATGGCCGAATCCCCTTAATGAGGGGCCTTCTTCATTTTATATCAAACTGAAGCGTGTAATCATCATTAAATCCATGGTTTGGTGGCGATTGTCAGGATATAATCCGGCTTTATGTCCCATTGCTCTCTCCCCAGCTGACTTCGCATGATTTATTGCAGGGAAATGGACCGTGTAAGCTCTATATCATTTGGCGCCTGACGTGTGCGTGTTGCTCTGACGGGAGCAGGTCACCCTTCACGTGACTCTCCCTTGTCAGTCCTTTAGTTTCCCGGCCATAACCAATTTCTTTTCGGGGTTTATTTCTATGCCCCGCTGATTGACCATATATCCCAGGAACTTTCCTGACGATACCCCGAATGAACATTTGAGAGGGTTCAGCTTCATTCTGTAGAGCCGGAGTATGTCAAACATCTCAGCGAGATGCGAAATATGCTCTGAGGCGACCTGGGATTTGACCAGCATGTCGTCCACATAGACCTCCATTGGCCTCCCGATCTGGTCGGAGAACATTCGGTTGACTAACCTCTGATAGGTCGCACCCGCATTCTTGAGGCCGAAGGGCATGACTTTGTAACAGTACAGGCCCCGGTCTGTAATGAAGGTCGTATGCTCCTCATCTGGTTTATACATTGGGATTTGATTATATCCTGAGTATGCATCCATGAAGCTTAACAGCTCTTGCCCTGAGGTGGCATCAACGAGCTGGTCGATTCTTGGCAGGGGGAAGCTGTCTTTTGGGCAAGCTTTGTTCAGGTCGCTGAAGTCTACGCAGGTCCGCCACTTGCCATTTGGCTTCTTTACCAAGACCGGGTTAGCAACCCAGGTCGGGTAGAGAGCCTCGCGAATAGATCCATTGCGGAGAAGGTTCTCCACTTCTGATTTTAATGCAGCGTATCGCTCCGGATCCATCGCCCTTCTCTTTTGGCGAATTGGCTTAGCTTCACTGCTGACGTTCAATGAATGGCAAATAACGTTCGGGCTGATCCCGACCATATCTGCGTGCGACCAGGCGAATACATCAATGTTCTTCTTCAAGAAGCTCACCAGCTTGGAAGCGAGCTGAGGGTTGAGACAGCTTCCGATCTTGAGCATTCGGCTCGGCTCTTTTGGATCAACCAAAACTTCGGACAGATCCTCAATCGGGCCGCTCGGGGGGATTTCCTGAATTCGCGGATCTATATTATCCTCCGCTGGACCAGGCTGTGGCTCGACCCGGCTGATCGCCATGGCCTGGCAGGGTGCACATCGCGAAATGCCCTTTCCTTTGTCGGCCATTTGGACCGCTTTTATATAGCATTCGCGAGATGCGTTTTGCGATCCGCTTACCTCCCCTATCCCCGATGGAGTGGGGAACTTCATCTTGAGATGATAAATGGAAGTGACTGCCCTGAAAGTTCTTAGGAGAGGTCGCCCTAAGATTCCATTGAAGGCCGATGGGCAGTCCACGACCAAGAATTCGGTAACCCTAGTCACCTCGTCGTAGTTGCCGAGCGTGACTGGTAGTTGGATTGTTCCGCTAGGGATCAGGTGATCCCCTGTAAAACCGTACAGAGGCATCGAGGCTGGCTTTAGGTCTGCCTCGGCCAGGTTCATTCTATCGAAAGCG